CGTCGATTTCGGTTGTGGGTTCGCAAAAAGCCAATTGGGAGACTGATAAGCTCAGCTACCGCTGTGCCCGGCAAGAGAACTTTATTTTTCTGACCCAGTGATACAAATACAAAATCGCTTATCAGCAGACGCAGCCCACAAACTCAATCAAAAAGCCGGAAAAACAAATTGTATAGAGTATAATAATCATATTGAAAATAAAGAGCTTTAAGAGCTGAGCTTAAGATTGTGCTCTTAAACGGCAGAGCGAGAAAAGAGTTTAACACTGTTGTATTTAGGAGAATTATTGTACAGCTGGTGCTCAAAAGGTATTTCAAAATTGACAGTTGTGGACTTGAATATTCGCAGCATTCAGATAATCAGGACTTACGACACATAACAGAGAACAAATTCCATTATAAACGCAGATAAATATGCACATGAATGCAGATCTGACTTAGGGAGTACCTAAAATTCCGGTTCCTATATCTGCGATCTATATCTACGCAGATATTTAAATCGTTTACGTGTACAATATATATTATCTTAAGATTGTCTCACTATTGAAAAACTGTCTGGATTGGCCGGATTGGTTTATCTGAAATCATTTTGTTTATCAAAATATCTTCAGCAAAATCTACAAGTTACGAAATTCAGCACGATCCTCAAATTTGAACAAGATCTTATAAACAATTAAAAAGTCTGTTGTATGGATTTTGTTCCTTACGACATTCTCATAAGAAAAACACCTTGCAATGGGTTTATGCTTTATCTTTATTAAATGATTAGCTGCCATAACGTCCACGCCTGGCATTGTTATACTTGTTTCTTGTCTGTGATTGGGGCTCCCCAAATCCTTCACCGAAACTTTCACTCGTCTGCATTGCTCCAGCTCCATAGGTATTGATGGGCTGCATCGCTCCAGCTTCATAGGGATTGCTTGACTGTATCGCTCCAGCTCCATAGGGGCTGCTCGGCTGCATCGCTCCAGCTCCATAGGGGTTGCTGGACTGTATTGGTCCAGCCTCATAGGGATTGCTCGGCTGCATCGCTCCAGTTCCATAGGAGTTGCTGGACTGTATTGGTCCCGCTCCATAGGAGTTGCTGGACGGTATTTGTCCAGCTCTATAGGAGTTGCTGGCCTGCATTGCTCTAGATCCGTAGGGATTGATAGGCTGCATTGGTCCACCTGCATAGGGATTCACATCGTTATCCTCTGTGCGTGCCAAATTGATTTGGGGCAGAAGACATGTGCCCTCGCATGCCATAAGAGTGCGAAAGCGATTGTTGTTCTCGTCGCAATTGTCCGTGGTAAAGATTTTGCACTCGTGATCATCATGATCGTAGAACCAATAGTTGCGCACGATAACCGGATTGGCCAGACAAGGTTGTGTAGAGGCGAATGGTTTCTCGAAGCAGTAGTCCTGCACCACATTGTATTTGTTGCCCGACTCCTGCTGGCGGTCCGAGTAACGTACTGATGGTGCCCGTGTGCTAAAGCCGGGCCTCTGAAGGCTGTTCGTGTAGTCGTTGTTATTGCTAGAGACTGGATCGTAATTGTTGTAGCTATTGCCTCTGTAATCATTGGAGTTCTTGCCTCTGTTGCCCTGCAGCTGCTCATTGTGGTAGCTATTGGATGTGGGTCGCTCCATCTCGTACGGCTGTTGTCGGTTGATCTCATAGCCACGCGGATTCTCCGCTGGCATAGGCGTAGCTAAGTTATTGGCCCTCCAGCCTGCATTGTTTCTGTCCGCTCCAGCATAATCCATGTCCGGCCTTGGGTTGTAGCTATTCTGGCCCCAAGCGGGCCTGCTATTTTCAAATCCACCTTCGTTGGTCTCTCCAAATATGTCAGGCTCTGGAAAGCCATCCAGTCCGCTATTGTCGGCTATAGTGCCACCACAATCTGCGCCGCTGCATTGCCTTGTCTCCTCCAGCGGCAATCGCATGACTGTCTGACAACGTGACCTTGCGAGGGGATTGTAATAGTCACGTGTCCGCGTGGAAATTCCCCGCCCACAGGTCTTTGAGCAAGGTGACCACTCGCTCCACATGGTCAGCTCACACTCGGCTATGGTGTCCGGACCATTGGGATTATCAACACCTGGCTCGCCAAAGGCCAGCTCATCCTCTGTGCCGCATTGCATGCCCTGACACTGCCGCACTTCCTCCAAGCGACGATCGCAGCTGTAGCTGGCCGCAAGTGCTGGATTTTTATAGCTGCGAAAGCGTTGCGAGTAGCCAGGACCGCAGCGCGTGCTGCAGTTGCTCCAATCGTTCCAAGGGTGAGTCGCACACTCCAGGGGACCTTCTTGTGGCACTATGAGATAGAACTTAGGTGGGTTAAAGGTTGTGGTAAGATCTAATATCTAAAGCCATACCCTCCTCACACTCGCGTATGTATAGCTTTTTCCTGGTCACGTAGAGTGTGGCTAGGGGCTTCATTGGTGCTCCCGAATCGTCATAGAAAGGCGAACGATGATCGCTGGGATATGTGGAGCTAATGCGACGTATGACATCCGGCGGCACCTGCGGCTGATCGGCTGACTGTTTATAGAAATGGGTTAAGCTTGATGTGAACTCGAAAGATGGTCACGCTCTCACCATGTATGAAGGACCTGAGTCTGTGCCTATGTCCCAGGGATATAAATTCAAAACCTTACGTTCCAGCCAAGTACAGTTACTCAAGCACAATTCCAAGCCCGCCACGCCGACTATCCAATCCGGAGAGGGATCTATTTTGGCGGCCAAGGATATTTGATGATGTTGCGAATCCACACGCGCATTGGCCAAGGTGGTGCCAAAGAGATTCTGACGATGTCCTATGCCTGGTGCCTTGATTATGGTACGAACCTCGCCATTCTAGAAGATGAAGAATCTTAGTTGAAGCAGGCCAAAGGACTTTAGTTAGTGAACTGCCCCACCTGCGTATTATCTCTTATCTCCTGCTCCAGTGTACGCGTGGCTCCATGCTCGGCCAGCTCCTGCATGCCCTGGCTGGCACGTCCACCATATGCCCAGTAGCGATAGCTATAGCTATGCGAGGCGCCAATTATTTCGCCCAAACGTGTGCGCCAAGCCTCTGCCGGAAAGTCCTTGGCATGCGTATTCCTAGCCCACTTGCGCTCCAGAATTATCTGTATCCGAAAAAGTATATATATCTCTATATATAAACAAATATCCAAAGAATAACTACCAAATCTCTTTAACATGCTTAAAAATTCTAAGCTTGAAATCGATATTTATCGATTTAGGGAAAATGTGCTGCTTAGATGAAAGAGCTGTCGAAAAAAGTCAAAGCTTGTTCTTTAGTATACACAGACGGACATAGCTAGATCGAAATGGCTCACGGGTTCCTTCAAATGGAAATTTGCAGAAATTCTTAAACTTAAGATCGTGGAGCCAACTGGGTACGCACCTCATACTTTGCCTCATCGCAGGCACAGCAATTTTGCAGCGCTGGCGTTAGGCTATTCAGCTCATCGATCTCCTCCGGGCAGATGCGTTTGGTCAGGAAACCATCGTCGATGAACCACACGTCGCGATGCTGCACCACGCCCGCCTTGATCAGCACACAGCCGCTGTCCGGTGACTTGGGCGCCATCCAGGAGACATCAATGCGTGTCTTGGCATTCGTATTGGTGCTCTCGATCATGTTCTCGCAGCCAGTACTAAATCTGGTCTCGGCATTGCTAAACAGTTCAAAATGTCCAGTCATATCTTGAGCATTGTAGGCTCCCGCGTGATCTTCGCTCTCCACGACCAGAGTAAAGCTAATGAACTTCATGCTGATCGGACACGAGAGGGATACTAGGAAAATGTATATAATTGAAAACCGCATAGTTCTGCCTAGTTCTGTGCTCTCAGCTCACCATTGTACTGATGATCGGGTATATAGGTCGTTGGATTGCCATCGATTAGTATCTTAAAATTATCATCGACTGCCGAACGTTCTCCAGTGGCGCCCTGGGGTATGCGATTGCAGCCACCGCTGACAACCTGAAGACACGCCAGGCACAGGATAAACATTAACAGAATGCGGCACATTTTCAGGCTCGCTTTTCGCAGTTCTAGTCGCAGCCACAGCTCAATGGAAACTGTCGAAATTGGGTGAAGCATTTCGATAATTGACGTAACGTTTCAATTATTTCTCAGACTGCGTCGCGACTGAGAACCCATCTTAATTGACTAGCTCGTCACTTGAAATGTTTTGAGTCGCGCTCTTCAACAAGTCGTCAACGATTTGTGTGTCTTTTGCATCGCTTGGCGCCAATTAATTTATTTTGCTTGGGTTCTTTGAACTTAGAGAGTAGCATATGCTCCAAAATAATAAAGCCTAGCAATCCAGAAATTTATGTAGGTCAATGATAAACAGCAGCCAGACAAGCATATGGCGAATTCGTTAAATCCAAATTTTGTTGAAAACGTGCCCAAAAATTACTGACCATATAAACAATGGGAATGTACTTTTATGTAAGCGATCCTGTGGTTAGTAGTTCTTACAAGATCTTAAAATGTTAGATATTTTCGCTCTTAATAAAACTTGTCGCTAACTCTTATAATTTTAGAATATACCCATAAGAAGTTCACTAAAAATTAATTTAATTTAAGGAAAATAAATCCAAATTATTCTGCATCAGCCGTAAGGTAGACTAACTTGTACTAGACCAGGTTGACTCAGCGTTTGGTCTACATCCTTCTGCTTCATTCATTTTTCACAACTTTTGTATGCCCCTTTTACTCCATTTTGCATGGATACAGGGTATACATATAAATATTAATATTTAAATGGAAAATTAAAAAAAAATCCATTACATATAATGTGCTAGCTTACAATTTAAACGGCCGTTTGCAGTGAGAGTATTGCCACCTTACATTACAATTTACTAGAGTGTTGCCACATCTTTTCGTATTTCAGTTAATTTTGAATGTTGAATATGGAGGCATTGGGTTACCCATCTGAGGATTCTTAGAGGAATCTCTTAAAAATCGTATATCCTCAATTCGAAACACGCAAAGGCTATTTTTATACAACTTTGTTGTTTATTAATACGAGTACATTTTGAGTTTGGTAGCCATTGCCCCAGTATACATGCAAACAAGGAGCAGCTAATACTTGACGCTAGAGTAGTTGATAAGGATTATCAGAAGGGCATTCTCGCCATCTCACCATTTTTCGCTCTCGTCATTGCTGCTGAGCATGCACGGCATCATGACGCATTTCTCGATGCGTACCCTGTCCTTGCACTTGTAGCTCAGATCGGTGTTGAGCAGCGTGCGTGTACGCTGGCGCACAGAGTTCTCGCCGCAGCTGGCGGTGCAGGGCGTCCAGGCGGACCACTCGGAGTAGTTGCATTCATCCCGTGGCTCCAGGGGCTGCAGCTTGGCGGGCATGTGACGCCGTTCGCCAAAGGCGCCGCTCACCGAGTACATGTCATCGCAGCGCTGATAGCAGCGATCCAGGCGCACCAAGTGCTTGGGACACTGTTTGCCACCGTATTTGGGTGTACGGAGCACGCGACGCGTTCTCAACTGGACACCATCGCCGCAGCTGGCATTGCAGCTGTGCGCGATCCACTCGGACACCAGACAGTCCACGCGTTGCGGCTGCTCCGAGCCGAGGCGTTCGTTTTGCAGCTCCATTTTGTGTCGGGGCAGGCGACAGGTCTCATCACACTGCTCCTTCGACTTGAATTTGTTCTGGTTGGTGTCACAGCGATCCGACCAGTAAATGGCGCACTGATCGCTCACATGATCATAGTACCAATAGTTGGCCACATCGCTGTCCCGGCAGTGGCTCTCGCGCAGCGTTTCGTAACAGAAGGAAGGCACAATGGTGTCACAGCTGGGATTCGTGCAGTTGACCTCCTCGAGCAGCTTGATATGGCGACAGGGATCGCTGCCGTCGTCATTGGGATCGCGCACACCATAGACGTCATTGTTGTTCCACACTTTACGCATGCGCTGACGTTTGCCCGTGCCGCCGCAGGGTCCCAGGCAGGGCGAGAAGTCCGACCATGGTGACACCCCGCACACTGGCGGTATATAGTCCTCCCTGCGTTGACTGTAGCTTTGGAAGTTGCGAAATAGCGAGCGCTTCTCTGCAGAGCCACCTTCACCATCGGCCGCCTCGGGCTGATCTCCCTCCTGCTCGGCATCGCCGCCCGCCCCATTGCCGATGTCGCCGCCACAGTCGCTGGCCTCACAGGGTTTGCTTTCCTGTAGTCGCGCCTTGCTTGCCTTCTGGCATTTCTTCTTGGCTCGCCGATTGAGATAGTGGCGGCTGCGTATCATCTCACCCGTTCCACAGGTCACCGTGCACGAGGACCACTCGGTCCACTCGGATAGCCCGCACTCGGGATCGGTGCCGGGCGGTTCCGCCTCGGGCTGCGTACCCTCCGACATCTCCTCGTTAAACGAAGCGCACTTGCGGCCCATGCAGTGCTTCTCCTCACGCAGAGCATTGTTGCATCTGTGACGCTATAAAATCGGGTTGGTTAAAACTGGGTAATCTAGGGTAATCTGAGAGGTTGTAGAGTACCATGGCTAGCGTAGGATTCTTAAACTCGCGCGTTCGGTACTGCTTGCCAGGTCCACACTTGGCGCTGCACTCATCCCAACGAGTCCAAGCGGTTGTGCCGCATTCCGGAGGCAGCTGCTCCGCTGTGGAATAACAAAATTAGTTGCTAAAATTGCAAATATTTTGTTCAAGAAAGCCTACTATCAGCTGCTTCGCAATTCTTCTCATAAAGACGACGCCTGTTTATGTGTAGAGTGGCCAGAGGCTTCATCTCTGCGCCCGTGGGATCATAGAATGGCGAGCGGGGATCATTGGGATAATTAGACTTGATGCGACGCACCACGTCGGGTGGCACCTGAGGCTGATCCGCAGACTGTCCAAGAAAAATACCGTGAATAAACAGAATGCAGAAGTTTGTATGAAGTATAACTGACCATATAGGAAGGACCGCTATCGGTGCCCGCATCCCAGGGATATAGATTGTGCACTTTGTTCTCTACCCACGAACAATTGGGCAAACACAGCTCCAGTCCAGAGACGCCCACAATCCAATCGGGCGATGGATCCACCATGGAGACCAATGATATCAAATGATGATGGGAGTCGACGCGGAAGACGGCAAATGTCTTGCCCGTCACATTCGGATAGGCAATGCCGCGCGCCTTTATAATCGTCCTTATGTGGTCGCTCTGATCCTTCAGCTCACTCTCCAAAGTCCGCGTGGAGCCATGCTCGGCCACCTCGCGCAAACCCTCGCTGGCCAGCTCCCCATACTGCCAGAAGCGATAGTCAATGGTGTGGGAGGCGCCAATAATGTCGCTGAATCTTGTGCGCCAGCTATTGGCAGGGAAGTCCTTGGGATGCGTGTGACGTGACCATTTACCCTCGAAGGTTAGCTGAAAGCGAAGTTCATGTAATGGCTGTCATTTGTTTTTTTTTAATACCTCAAATCTCACCTCATATTTGGCCTCATCGCAGGCACAGCAGGGATCCACAATGCTGGGCTGTGTATTGATATCATCCACCTCCTCCTCGCACATGCGCTTGGTCAGCAAACCATCGTCCATGAACCAAACATCGCGATGCTGCACGACTGTCGCACGGATCAGCACACAGCCTTGGCCCGGCATGGTGGGAGCTGCCCAGACGATCTCGACGTGTGTCTTCAGATTCGTATTTGTGTTCTCCACGACATTGGCACAGCGCGGACTGAAGCGTGTCTCCGCCAAATCACTTATCTCAAAGGCGCCCATGGCATTTGGCTCATTTTCGGCATCGCCGGACTCCATTTCCAGTGCGAGCATAAAGCTCACAAACGACAGACTCGAGTAGGCGCTCAGCGTGACTGGCAAGTGGAAAATGAACATCTCTCTCCACTTGGGATTTCTTTTTTTGTTCACTTACTATTATATTTCTGGCCGGGCACATAGCTCTGTGCATTTCCCGCCACGGAAAGCACAAAATTCTCATCAACTGGCGATTTGGCTGCGGTGACGCCCTGTGGCACACGACTGCACGCTTGGATCAGGGGCAAGCAGCAGGTGGTTGCCAATAATAAAATGATGCATGTAAATCTCAACATTGCGCTTGTGTGGAGGGTTCTGATCTCCCTCTCTCTCTCTCGCTTTTACTCTCTGTCTCTTTCGCTTCCGGGGACTGCAATTAAAACGCCATTAATTATATGTTCCATATTTAGAATGGACCGTATTTCATGCGAGAGGTTGTTATAATCTTCCATTTTCATAATGTCGATAAACTTCGATTTTAAGTAATTGTTTTTTGGGCATAACTCGAATATAAAAAGACCTAGACACGCTCAACTTATTATGTAGGTTATCGTATAGTATATATAGATTACAAATATTTTACTTTGCGGATATCTACGCCTGTTCGACCTAAAATTTTGAAAGACCGCTTTCTGAAAAGTAGAGCCTTTCGCTTTGGTATATACACGCTTTTGAAAGCATGTACAGAGGGAAGCTAGAACCCTCGTTCAGGGTAACTCGTACTCGGGCACACCCGATTAGAGCACTCCGGTCCACAAATGCGGAACCATTTCTGCCATTTCCATAGCTCGTTTAGATATTTAATTGCTATGCATAGTATCTGTTGTATCGAATGTCAGTGACACACACAAACAGATCTATTTGGGAATGTTGATTAATTGCAATTGCTCTTGACATTGCAAGACTTGCTTGAAACAATACTATCTGGATATATAAATAATATAGATATTTAAAATAAATTCAAAGTCAATTAATATTCATGTATTTAGCATGTTACTTAATCGAAAATTATACCCTTAGGGTGAAAGTTCTGAGAGGGACTGTAAGACAATATCTTTTAGCACGCTGCAAGTAAACCGCCCCGTAAATGTTTTCATGCGCCTTCTCGCTCGCCCGTCCATTGCAGAGCGGAAGAGAGAAGCCTCTCGGAATAAGCACATGCCGAAATAAGAGGTACATCAGCGAATACGTCACTGATTAAATTCAATTGGAAAATTGCAAAATAAAAAGGCAAAATGTGTCAGCAAATGAGCAGCGACAGCGAGGAAATCAATTGCAATCGCAAAACTTATCATTAAAATCACTTTTAGGGTTTCGTCAGTGGCATGGCATTACGACCTCTACAAATCCCAGCCGCTTGGCAACTTACGTTCTATCAGTTGTAAATCAGAATTGTGGCGAAACTGTTTACAAAATATTTATACTGAAATACTTTTCACATATGTATATCAGCTAAAAACTGTGATTATCTTTTCACTAATTCCAATTGCACTCAAAATCCATACTATTCACGAATGTATATTCACGACCGTCTCGTCTGGCGCTCGAAACGCAACTGAAATGCAAATTGCACGAGCTGCCTTAAACGACTCAATTTTCAATTATTTTCCCCGATGTGCAGCAATTCGTGAGAGGTGGCAACCGGGGGGCCCATTGAGTGGGTGCCCAAAGAGCGCAGCGTTTGGCTGTGCCCCTTTTGTTGCTCTGCTTTAGCGGCCATTTGCCAATTTCGCATTTGTTGATGTTTTGATTGTGTGACTTTTTTGTTTTCATCCCGCCATTCTAAACAAACTCGTGCAGAACGTGGCGCAATTTAAGCGAAGGACAGAACTTGGCGACTGGCGCGGTGCCAGCACAGTGGTTCAAGATAGCGAGATCTACTAAGCATCTGGTGGGGTGCAGGAACCTGGAACTACTTGAATCTTGTTAAGCATACTCAGAGCTTAGCTTAATTTAATTAAGAGTGCTCCGGCCGGGAGTGCTCGCAGAGCAGATGCGCTAAACCCATCACCAAGCAGCCAAGCAGTCGCCCCATCAACACACACACATACAGAAGCTATGCTTCTTCCTCCCTTTATTCCCTATGTTTGTGGGAAATGTATTCTAGATTAACTACGATATTTATAGACCTTAAATATAGCATACAAAAGTATATACCAAAACGCAAAGCCTTATGAGTAATTATTTGAAAATTTTGGAATTTAAAAACCTTTCGATGAAAATCGATTCTTTCTGATTCCTCTACCTTGTAATTTTATCATGAAACGCATAGATGATATCAATTGTATATATGTATGTTTATATGTTGCTTTAATCTTCGTGACACTTTAGAAACAATTGATCGGAAAATCATCTTATTGATATTTTTTAACAGGAAAACCTAATTGCCTTGCTAGAGAACTTTCTGATACTTTTTTGTCAATCAACATTAGGGATTCCAAAAAGTGGTTAAACGCGCTTGTTGGTGAAAGTTTTGTGTGTCTTAAATATCTTATCTTTGGTTGTTTGTATTAGAGGTTACTTTAAGGTCATTGTCCTTGTGCTGTTTTCCATTGTTTGTTAACGCCAACGAGTTTCCTGTTTTCTATTCTCTGAAATTGAAGACCTTTAAGAGTCTTGTAATAGTTTTCTGAACTGGTTTTCAGAAGACTCTCCTTATCCTCACCACTAATTTACGGGAACAACAGGAATACGCCTGGTCAATCGATTAGGGAAGGTTAATTAGTTAACATTTGCTTTTTAGTTATGTTTATGCTGACATTTCTTCTTAGTTCTACTTAGGGCAAGCAGGCTATCCAGTTAATTGTCATTTAGCTGTCTAAAGTATTTGTTAGACATTTATTATTCATTCAACATCAAACAGTACACCGCTGCGTTTCGTATTTCGAAATTGTATATTTTTATTTCTAGATCTTAGCAGATTTATGAAGTCAGTCGGTTATTTTTTGGAACCATACTACATAGATAAGACTAAAGAGCATCAGGATTATAGCTAAAATGCAAAATTCCGCTGTTGTATCACGTGGTAATAAGAAAGAACACTCCCAACTAAAGATTTGGATTAGCTTAGACTAATATTTGTTACCCTCCATTTTACAGTGCCGCATAAAGTTAATGTCAAAAATGTACCAAATAAGACTGTTGCATCCGAAACCAAAAAGCAAGAAGCAACAAATGCTCAGCACGTGAGTTAATCAATTGCAAGACAATTACATATTCGGCCAATTGCTAATTGTTTTGTTCTGTTTACAGCCAAAGCCGCCGATCAAGCGAATGCCAATCAACGAGAGGAGAGCTGCAGGCGTTCTAGGCGCCAACAATAACAAAAGCAGCAAAGTCAACAGCACGATTACTCCATTGGTAACTCCTTCGGTGACTCCATCGGTGACTCGAGCGTTGTCTCCAGCGGTAACTGCATCGCGAGCTCCATCGCGCGCTCCCTCGCGGCCTTCCTCGCCACCTCCCCCGCCGGCGCCCGTGACTTGCTTAGAGGTCGTTAAATCCTCAACAAGCATGATCTCTCGCCGCACGGACGCCGACTCGGAGGAGGTGTTACCCAAGCTGAAGAACAAATTTACGAAGCCTCGATTGAATCAACTTACAGAGCAGAGAATTAGTCGCTGTCACGCAGAAAATGTAGAAAATGGTGGGTGGCTTCAAATTCAAATTCCAATTTAAATTTTGCTTAAGACTCTCGCCGTCTCTCCGCCCAAAATAGCTGCCCAGGTGAGCTCGCCGTCGCCAGCACCCTTGCCGCGAACGAGAAAGAAAGAACCCAGCCTCACATCGATGAGTCTTCATTCACAACAGGAGGCGATTGAGCCGACACCATGTCCACAGCCGCTGGAGGCGCTGCAAAAGCAATTGGAGGACATGCAGTCAGAGTTTATGCAGAAAGCGGCCAGCTTTCGTGAGAAGGGTTATGGATATGCCTACAAGCTGGTTACCATAGTGCACAATGATAATTGCAAGGTGCTGGTGCACAATGATGACTTGCTTGCCCTTCCCAAAAATCTACGTGAGAGCTCTGATTCATTTGATTTGAGATTGTCGCACTAAAAGACTTTTCCTCCCTCCTTTCGCTTTAGCTGTTCAATCGGTGAGTGATTTCAAGCATCTGTGCCATGATGTCTTCAAGGCTGGCTTCAAATTCATTTTCGAGCAGTTCGCATCCGTGCAGTTGGCCAAAGATGAGGCGACAGTGGCCGCTTGTCGCGAAGAGCTGCGCGTTAAGTTGAATGGAGAACTGGTAAATGATTGAAATACCCATTTCAGTTATATTCCTAACAAAATCCCTTCTTCCAGAACAATAAGCTGGTCGTCGTCGATAATGAGCTGATGCAAATGTGCAGCGCCGCTGGCAAGGAGGATAACTCGAGTCTGGTGCGCCAGGTTTGCGAGTTAAGCGCAGCAAATACCCAGCTAAAATGTACTAATGCCAAGCTGGACTTGGATATTGCCGATGTGCGCAAGAATCGGGAGGATCTTAAAAAAATGCTCGAATCATCGCAAAAGCGTAACAATGATCTCGCCCTGGAGCTGGCCGACAAGAATATCTCGCTGGTGGAGCAAACCAGCGTCATTGATGATCTGCGCACTGATTTGAAGCACATGAAGAAAGTGTAAGCCATGTGAACGGTTTTGAGGAACAATCGGTTAAATATAATCTATAATCAAGTAATGCCAACAGCACCAAGGTATTGAATCAACGTCTAAAGGAGAACGATACCGGTATGGATAGCTTGAGGCAGACGATCAACACGCAGTTGGAGCGCATTGAGGACTTGCAGGCGCAACTTTATCAGGCAGACGCTGATCGTTTATTCCTGAAAAAGAAAACGGAAGAATTGACACTAATTGTGGCCGACAAGGATCGGCAAATAGCTGAACAGAGGCGACAGCTGCACCAGCTGGAGCAATATAAGGATTGGCAGGAGGGGCAAACGGAGTCAACAATTTGCAGCGAGCAGGAAACGGCGCAAATAAGGTTGGCGAAATTTCAGATATTTTATAGTAAAAATTACAAATCCCAGTCCGCAGTGAGCTGCAGACGGAGCTGGAGCGTCAACAGACACGCCTGACAGCACAGGAGCAGGCGGAGCAATCGCTGCGCAATGAATTGGAGCTTAAGCAGGAAGCCCTACGCAAGGCAGAGCTTAAGATGGGGCGACTCGAGGAACAGATCGAACATCATCGTCAAGTGCTGGCCGTGCGCGGTGAGCGCATTAATTATCTGGATCAGGAGATGAAGCAACGCGAACAGGAGAGCAATCGCAAGATTAATGAAATTATGTCTCAAACTAGCGATAAAAATACGCTCATTACCCAGGTTAATAGCAAGGATTTATAAATGTATACATATATATCTGGCTTTTAACGGCTTTTCTGTGCGCAGATATCCAACGAGCTGGCATCCACGAATGAGCAGTTCCAGAATCTATGCTCGACGCTCAGTACAAAGCAAACCAAACTGCATAGCCAGGAGCACGTCATCAAGTTGCTGGAGGAGAGCAATGCGCGCAGCGTCAAGCTTCACACGAAACTGGGCGAAAAGAATGCGCTGCTCAAGGACGAACTCGACCATTTACGGCGTACCGTGTAAGTAGAGTAGCGAGTAGTTTGGAGAGCAACCTGCTCAACTCGTAACAAGTACGCTAGATACCCAACGAGTGTATTCACGCTATATGCTGTGAACATGGCTCGAACCTGGTTTACCACATTCATGAATCTTACAAAATGTTCCTCCCGTTTTCTGGGAATATATTACCTTCTGGCAAGTTTGCTTAATGCTAAAGTTCAGTAAACATTTCAATTATGTTTTAAATTCAGTTTAAATGGAATACCGGGTTCGAACTTGTGCGGTTCAGAGCCGGCTTGCAGCCTTGATTATGAGTAACCATTTTAATTTACAGTTCTTCAATACTGTCTCATCGCAGAAATAACCTAATGTTAGGCAGTGAAGTCAGCGATGTGGATGTTGCAGACATTCTGCTGGAATAAACCAAAATAAGACAACACAATTAACAAAATTACCAATGTATTATTATGGTAAGCGGCACTTGTTACGAGTATTCATAGCGCAAAATATATATATCATATATAATTCTCTTTTATTTGCAGTCACATTTATGTCAAAATTCTAATTGGCAATAATGGACAAAACATATTTGAACCAGTGCCAGCTCATGAGGTGTTAAGTCTACGTTCTAAACGCAACAAAAAGCATCAACAACCGCAACTTCTACTAGAAGAATAATATCATATTATATATATTTAGCGACCAGCAGCAATTAATGCGCCACAATCAATAGACTTTTTCTTTAGTTATTAAAAGTTTTCCCTACATACATACAAAACATACATATATATTTACATTTATATATATATATATATATATATCCTTAAATAGGTAGTCGAGTTGCTCATCTAAATTATTGTCTTTGTAAACCTAGATTTTCACGTTTTTGTAA